ATCTGATGAACCTCCCGCCATATATATATTACTAGAATCTGAATTCAAAATTTTGAAAGATTTTAGTTTTCAAGACTTATAATCTTAAACTTGTATGTATTTTAATTTAATTTAAAAAAACTTAGAAGCAGATTTTTTTTCCCCCATTTCATATCAAATTGTCTGAATTGGAATTTGATTAGTGGGTTTATTTAATGGTTGTCCCGGTCTAGGCGGAGATGTTGAGATTTAAAAACCACAAATGACATTCATAGTCAGATCCAAATTTAGGGTTGTGATTTTTATGTCTAAAATTCAGTCCGATTTGTGAATTTTATGTCTAATGTTTTTTAATTAAATATGCGAAACATTTATTAAACTTTCCTGTCCGAAATTGGTCTCTTAATTTCTATAAAAACATTTTAGTATATTTATGTTAAAGTCTTATAAAGAAATTCTACCGATTGTATGTTTTCCTAAAAAGTAAAATACTTAATTTGTATAAAAATAAAACTCTTTTAGTTGTACAAGTTGTAAATATAGACTAATATATTTCGAAAATTAATAAATCTCTACATGTTTTTGACAATGTTTCTTTCTTTATTCACGTAACCTTCTTTTATTTTCTCTATTTGTCATTTTTACAATTATTTCTAATTTAATTTATTATAAATTTTATTACAATAAAATATGTTTTCTATCTTTATTTCGTGCTTTTGTTTCCTTTTTCCAAGATAGATAATTAAAATTTCTTTCTTGCAAAAGATTTTTTTTTCCTTTTTTTTTTCATACTAAACCGGATGGGTGTCAATTTAGGTCCGAAAATTCGATCTGAATCCATCCGAAAAATATCGGGTTCCAGATCTAATCTTTTCGGCCCAAAAAAAATGGATTTTCAGATCGATCTGAAAATCTAAATATTTTTTAAAAAAAAATTAATAAAAATTTTAAAAAATAAGTTATTAAGAAAAAATTGAAGGGGTCGACCGAATCTAAAACCTATAGGGCCAAACTTTGGGTTTGATGATACAAGTCAGAAAAAATTCGAATCAGTCTGAATCCAAACCCAAAACCCTCGAATCGCAGACTCGGACCGGGTGGGGGCGGGCGGTCCTATTGACACTCCTAGGTGTATGGCGATTCAAAAAGAACCTATATATACATAAGCAAATTAGAAAAAAAATTTAACGGATACAATTATTAGAAAAATAAATAACTTATGATCAAAGTACATAAACCTTTTAAACTAAACCTGTTGTTTAAAAAAAAATCGCTCGGGCGTTAGCCTTTATTACATGTAAATCCGACAATGTGTATATGTATACAAAGTGAAATATGCCATTAATTTGGAGCAAAGAAGAGGTTGAATGATATTTTCATATTTACAAAATTGCTCGTAAATTCATCAACTTTTACCAAAAATTGTTTGAGATCATTGCAAGGAAATCCACACACATCCACAAAAAATATATATTCATCACAAAAGTTGTATATTTGAATAATCCAAAAAAAAATACAAAATTTATTGCAATGTTAAATTTCCCCCGACAAGGCCTCTAAATCTCAAATGGTTCTGTCTTTGGTTCCAACATGAAAACATTTAAAAGATCATTTTCTAACCTTTCATGGCAGGAACATGTAACCATGATGCAACGATCCATCATTCATTCATCTGTCTCGATTTCTGCATAGAACGATGACAGATCATATGAACAAAACCAATCAAAAACCATAATAAAGAGAGATCGAGATCATTACCTTCTTTCTTTCGGTTGAATCCGAGACACTGTATGAATCAGGCATCACCTCTTTTAACCATAATCCGGGAAATACCGACTGCACCCATTAACCATTAACATGAATCCATTTCCCATGGATAGGAAGTAAAAATCCGAACCAATTTTATCTTTCGATAATGTTCGATTTCTCTATATCGAAACAAACCGAAGATAAACCAATCCAAACCCGAGATTCTCATCAAATGAATCGAACCATACTGAACTTAATATATTTTTTTTGGTAACCAAGTATTCTCTCGATCCAAACTAATATCGGGACCGAGAGCAAACCATGTGATTGAAATTACGTTATCCTCCTCAATTTGAGATTCGAACTCGGGACGGGACATACGCTTTACATCCCCGTTTCACCGGTTGAGGTATCCAAGTTGGGTCAACTGAACTTGTACTTAGTTCATGTTATCCGAAATTCGACCCGAATCGAGACCCAGAAAATTAAATCGATCAAACGATGCTTAGTCCTGAATCTATATACTAAAAGAGTTTGGATTTTGTATTTGCTGTTCATGGCTCTTTTCCTATGTATGAATAAATTATGCTTCTATAATGCATGATATGGTCGTAAGTTCAATGGGAATAAAAGAGAGAAGCAATAATACGCTTACGTCCAATTGCCTCTGCACATTTCCGGGTCTCTTCTTTGGGCGTCGTGGTGGCAGATGTCCCACCATCGCCATGAAATCTTCTTCAATCTCTTTCTTCGTCAGCGTCACTGAGAATTTCGGTCGTTCTGGCTTGTCTTCTCTGATCGTACCCGACGGTTTCTGATTATCATTCAACCGCCGATTCGGTCCCATACCTCCGCCGCCGCCGTTGTTGCTTGCCGCCGCTCCCTTCCTCGTCCTCAGATTCCACGGAGGTCTCGCCGCCATCTCCGTCGCCGTTTCCTTCTGTCTCTCCCTCCTCCTCCTGGCTTTCCCCATCGGTTCAATTTCATCCTCGACTTCCTCCTCTCTCAACCTCGATTTCAGATCCAACGGCACCACCTTCTTACTCACCTGGCCGGCCGATGATCCCGACGCGGCGGGTCGATCCCAGCGGTGATGGTGTTGAATCGTCGGAGGCGGTTGCTCTGTCCCGGAGTTTATCGTCCTCGACGGAGAAGCTCCGGATTTCGCCGGCGACGAAGCTTGGCGACGGAGACGGTGTTCGTCATCGCTGGAGGAGGAATCTGCCTTCACGCACCTGAGGAATCTCTGGTTTCCCCACTTCAAGCTCGAGAGCGGGAAATTGTGGAGCGGCGGCTTCACTCTCTCCGATCTGAATTCCCCGACTGTTTCATCGTCTCTCTCGCTCGAATTCTCCATCGATCGTCGTCTTCCCTCTCCGTTTCTTGTTTTTTTTTTTCCGATTTCTTTTTTTTTTGTAAATACACAAATATTGACAAGTGTATGCGTGTGTATATAGATTGTTTCTCGCCCTGTGAAGAAATTCTGAGTAACAACATTAATGATGGAGGGAAAAAATTAACTATTCAAAAAATGGAAAAAAAAAATGAACACCGGGTCGAAACGACGTCGTTTTGGAAATGCTGATCGGTTTGATTCGATTTGGTTTAAGCCGGTTTAGTTTGATTCCATTTGGTTTACCGGTCCACTTTTTTTGTGGGTTTTTTTCGAATATTTGTATTGAATTGGTGAGAGAATTCGAAAATGGAAAGAGAGAATTTGGAAAATTTCTGTGTTGTTATTCAAAATGATTCCAATTACAGATTATTTTATTTTAACATATGATTTTTATTTTTAGATTATAATTATTATATTAATATTTTAATTTTTTCTACAAAATTGTATTTAAATATTTCAAAATTGTCGGGGGAATTCGTTAAATTTTAATGTTGTTAGCCATTGTGGATTGAATTCAAATTCTTTTGAAAGTATTTTAATGTTGTTAGCTATAATATATAATTACTATATACTATAGGAAGTGTAGGAATGAGTATGATGTATCTTATGATCTATGTTGATAACATGTTAGCTGCAGCTAAATAAAGAACAAATATGCAGAAACTGAAACAAGTCTTAAGCTCTAAATTCGACATGAAGGGCTTGGAGCGGCAAAAAAAATGTTGGGCATGACTATCAAACGAGACAGATTGTCGAGGTTGCTAACTCCGTCTCAGGAAGAATACGTTAAGAATACGTTAAGAAGGTATTAATGACATTTAATATGGAAAACTCGAAATCAGTTCAGACTCTATGGAGATTCACTTTAAGTTGTAGAGTATATTCCTTATGCAAATGCAATAGGGAGTGTGATATATACAATGAGAGGTATCCGACCAGATCTGACACTCTCAGTAGGTTTGTTCAGCAGATTTATGTCTAAACAACAAAAGGAGTATCGGGAGGTAGTAAAATGGGTCTTGTGATATCTAAAAGGCTCAAGTAGTATGTATTTTGTGAAGTGTGTATCGAGTCCTCACCGTTCTCTCCGACTCACGTCCGTGCAAGAAACGAAAAGAACACCGGAGATTTTACGATTTCGGTTACCGAGTTTTCTCGGGCCTACGTCTCGGCCGGACAGTGCCGGCGAATCCACTAGAGATGGTACGAAAACAACCGAGAAGAGAAGACACGGCGGCTCTCCACACCAAGGTCGGAGGCTCACCGAGAAACACCAAGTAAGAAGATACAAGACACTCATCGATACTTACCTCGCTCACCTTTGGCGAGTCGCCGCCGGTCTGAGCTTCGTCATCGCCGGGAAGCACCTCCGCCTTTTTCTCCCTCACGATCGCCTCTCTCTCTCGAAAGTCTCCTCGAGCACCGTGTCGTCCGTTGTCGCAGTAATCGCAAGACCTATTAGGGTATTAACCCTAAATCACCAAAACGCATCGTTTCGGTCTAGGATTAAAATCCCGCTCCGTTTAGTGTTAAACCGAAAGCCTCCGCTGCAAAGAGAGTATCCGCTTTTCCACCAGAACATGGGCCAAGCCCAACAATCTCCACCTTGGTGGAGAAAGAGGAACGAACAAGAGAATAATCACAAATAAACACTAGTGGAATTCGCCGTTTCCAGCACCGATCGACTTTAGTCGATCCCTCGACTTTCGTCGGAATTTAAAACCGCAACTTACCTGACTTACCTTACTTACCTGATGTCCCGGAGTTAGTCACATGTTGCCTTGAATCTGATGAAGCTCCCGCCGATGACTCCTCGAGGCTTTGTCGCCTTATCCCGCCACCGATCAACTTATCCAAAACCTGAAACACTCGGTAAACGTGTTAGAACGTTTACACCGATAAAACCCGAACCGAAGTCCGAACACGCGTTGCCCGACCGACAAACGCTACCCTCGGTTGTATGACGCCCTAGACCGTCTAACTAACCCTCCTAGTAAAGTCCAAGACTTTATCCGCTAGCAAACCCGAGGATTATACCCGACGTCTACCCGTCTCCTAAGTCTAACCCGACTTCTTCCGAGACTAACCTGAGTCATACTACCGAACCCGCTAGATACCTAGCCCAGAATCCCCTTGAAGTCTACACTACCTATAGGTATACAACTTCTACCATCGGACCCTAACATGCCAACTAGGATTGTCTTACGGTTTTGTCCCGCGAAAACGTTCCTAGTCCTCTACGAATGCTCCACCGAGAATGAGACACGTGAGTGCACGTGCTCCACCTTGAGAGAGAGTGTCCTAGCGCCAACCTATACCGACTCTACCCGGTGAAATCCCGACACCTCCCATCTCACACCATCTCATGAGCATCCTACCCGAGGAAGCTCCACCTAAATATGGAGACCTCACCTCTTAACCTACCACCGAGAACCGAAGCAACTTCGGTTACTCCTCCGAGGTTAACACGTCCTTCTTCCTCGGACTCTCTCTACCTCATTTTCACGGGATCTACAAATCCTCCATGTAGTATCCCTACCTACCCGCGGAACCACTCACTCCACCTGGTCCTTGGCCTTCTCCTGCAACCCGATTTCTCGGGTTTGCCCGAGACCCCTAGTCCTTCCACCATACCCCCTTTCGGGGTATACCGAGCTAGAATATCTAACTCCATCATCCTAAGATGATAAAACCCGAGTCTAAAACCGACTCTACCCGGAAGTGACTTACCTGACCCTAGAAGTGATGTAACATGACACGAGGGATGAGACCGAACCCTAGAGGACTTAACCCTAGGTATATTTCTACCTAGCCATGCTTGACATGCTCTAACCCTAGTCTATCAGTCCTAAACCTAGGTACGTCTCTACCTACTCAGACCTACAAGACCTAGAGAACACGACCTGATTGGACTTAATCTAGGCACTCAATCTAAACTCGATCTAAGAACTTTAAACCAGTCCACTATGCCCTAAACCAGACACCATCAGACCTAATTTGGACTAACCTAACCCTAAACCAGTTAGTTCTAGCCCTAATTGTACATTTCAGACCCTAAACCGATCTAATCTGGTCCTAAACCACGAATTCAGATCCTAACCCGGCCAATACCAGCCCTAACCAGATAATTTAGATCCTAAACAGACCTCCATTAGCCTAAAACCAATCTGATCTTACCTAATACCGGACTCAATTGACCTAGACGGTCCAATTCTAGCCTAATTGGACGAACATACCCTAAATTAGACCTAAACCAGTCTAAACCAGCCTTAATTCACCTCCAATCAGACCCTATTGATCTAAAACTGGACAATTCTAGCCCTACCCAGACAAATCAGACCTTAACCAAGACCTAAACCAGCCTATATTGTCCTAAACCGGACTCAATTGACCTAAACCGGACCTAAATTGACCTAAATCAGACTCAATTGTCCTAAACCACACCTAGATTGACCTGAACCGATCTAAACCGATCCAATTGATCCCAAACCAGACCTGAACCGGTCTGATTTGACCTAAACCGGTCAACTATTGACCAAATTGGTCAACGGATTGACCGAATCGGAGTGAACCGGTCTGAACGGCCGGGACTGGGCCTGAACCGACCGGAATCTGGTCTGAACCGACGGAACCGGTTCAAACTCGGTCTGACCCCGAGAACCGGACTTGGATCGAATCGAACCAGGTTCGATTGACCCAAACCAGATTAAACCGAAATTGGATCGATTAAACCAGTCTAAACCGATTGAATCCGAAACCCTAATTTCGGAAACCCTTAGCCGCCGAGTCAACCGAGTTAACTCGATTGTTGACTCACCCGATTCCTCCACTCAACCCTAACCCGGACGAGTCAGGGGCCGAGTTTTGCCGGAATCGGACTTTTCTCCACCGAGTTCACCGAGTTTCTTGGAAACTCGGTCTCAAAATCGGAGAAAAAACGCGGAAAATAAAGGAAACCGAGTCAGAAATTTACCCGACTCACTCTCGGTTCAAGTCTGTCTTCACCGATTCGGATCTGTGAAGCTCCACCTTGACGGATCTGACCGCTGGCGACCCCGAGACTGTTAGATCCACCTTTAACCGTCACCGATTTACCTCCGTCGCCGTCTGAAACACTCAAACATACCATCAAAATGCTCCGACAGACAAATCCGAACCGAAACCCTAACTTACCTCGCCTTTTCCGGCGAAACTTACCTCCCTGGATCTGAACCAGGCTCTGATACCACTTTCTGAAGTGCGTATCGAGTCCTCACTGTTCTCTCCGACTCACGTCCGTGCAAGAAACGAAAAGAACACCGGAGTTTTTACGAGTCCGGTTACCGAGTTTCCTCGGGCCTACGTCTCGGCCGGACGGTGTCGGCGAATCCACTAGAGATGGTACGAAAACAACCGAGAAGAGAAGACACGGCGGCTCTCCACACCAAGGTCGGAGGCTCACCGAGAAACAACCAGAGAGAAGATACAAGACACTCACTGATACTTACCTCGCTCGCCTTTGGCGAGTCGCTGCCGGTCTAGGCTTCGCCATCGCCGGGAAGCACCTCCGCCTTTTTCTCCCTCACGATCGCCTCTGCGATCGCCTCTCTCTCTCTCTCAAGTCTCCTCGAGCACCGTGTCGTCCGTTGTCGCAGTAATCGCAAGACCTATTAGGGTATTAACCCTAAATCACCAAAATGCATCGTTTCGGTCTGGGATTAAAATCCCGCTCGGTTTAGTGTTAAACCGAAAGCCTCCGTTGCAAAGAGAGTATCCGCTTTTCCACCATAAATCATAGGTTTTTGTGATTCTGATTTTGCAACTGATTTGGATAAAAGAAGGTCCATTACAGGTTTTGTTTTCACAATGGGAGGTATACTATATGCTGGAAATCGAGTCTACAAAATGTGGATGCGTTGTCCATCACAGAAGCAGAATTAATATATGTCACTAATAGAGGCAGTTAAAGAGAGTCTATGGCTGAAAGGTTTGCTGCCATAATTAGGATATGAGTAAGAGACAGTAAAAATTATGTGTGATTCACAGAGTGCGATTGATCTGTCAAAGAATAATATCCATCATGAAAGAACAAAGCACATTGATGTGCGGCTTCATTTTATTCGGGACGTGATTTCGAAAGGGCAAGTGGAAGTGGAGAAGATACATACAGATGTGAATCCTGCAGATTTACTTACAAAGACAGTCCCGATAAGTAAGCCCAGTAACTTGCTGAGTTTACTTAGAATATCTGGTACTTAAAGTTGAATATAGAGAGAGAGAGGAGTGATAAGTTTAGCTATGTCTGAAAAGAAAGAAGCGATTCTTCAGATAAGGTGGAGTTTTGTTGAAAACTACCTGATCTGAGTTACTCAAAGACTCTAGCTGAGCTAGAGGGTATCGACTAGTTTTGTCAAATGCGCAAAGGGCAAAATGGTTTTCTTGCATTGAGTTGATTATGTCTATTAATGAAATTGTCGTCTTCTTCCAGATAAATGGAGAGATAGGGTAACAAATTAGAGGTGTGATTAAAACAAGAGTTTTGGATATTTTTTCCTCATGGTGAGAAAGATCTCATCTCTTCCGAGACGGAAAGGGAGTGGCTCGTCCGGGACTGATCAAGAGTTGGTCTGCCGGACCAGATAAATTCTTCCGTTAGATCGACTAAATAATATTTAATTACTTGAAAGATCCTGGCTTTCGTGCTTAGGCACAAACACATTGTTCGTGCTGAACTCGTAAAACCGTGTGTTGTTCTTATTCTCTCTGTTCGTGTTTTGCGTATTACTAATACATTATTTGTCGATCGTCATAAACGAATCGAAGATCGTCGAATCGATTGGGTCAATTGTCGGATCTCGAATCGAGTTGGAACTACCACAGTTTGTTTGCCAATTTAATAAATTAAACTTGTTTTTGTGGATTTTTTGTTGGACCTTAATATATAAATATAACAATTGAAAAGGGTAAATATTTACTATAACGCCAATAATTAAGACTTGTGATAAGCATAAATCATAAAAAGTGATAGATTGATCAGATTTAATTTTATTTTCTCTTAACTAAATAATATATTAGCTAGATTTAACTGTTAAAAAAAATGTCAAAAGTTATTGAGGATTTAATTGATATCAAATAAATGAAAACTAATTGATTTTGGGTTGAGTATAAAATAATAATTAATTTTTAAAAATAAAATGTTATTTAAAGTAAATATTTTTAAGAAAAATATATGAAATTAATCAAAATTTGATCTATGAATGGAATGACATATTCTTTTAAAAATATAAAATTCAAAATTGATAATAATTAGATGGAGATAAACAAAATTAAAAAAGAAATGGATATATATAATATAGTTTTTTTAAACCATAAAATTGGAATCTGAAAATAAACCATGATAATTGACGTACGGAACTCTAACTAAAACTTAATTCACAATTATTTCAAACCATAAGCAATACTAAAAAGGTCTTTAATTAGCTTACGGTATTTAGAAAAATTAAAAGAAAATTATGAAAGCAAATTATTACATAAAATATATTAGCGTTCTTTTAGTCTTAAAATAAAAATAAAGAATAAAGACAGTAATATGTTTTTTTTTACAAGTTAAGAATATTATCTTTCGAGGAAAAAACGCGGTAACGTTATTTAAATAAAAAGAGGTATACGCGTTAACGTCGTCAAGAGTTTCCAAACGTGGAAGTGACGGTACAATATCACTATTTTAACGGACCGTTTTCTCCGTCAGTTTACCAGATTTGACTTTCTTTCTTTTTTTTTTTTTTTTTTTCCCTACGACTCTCACTCTTCGAAAATGGAAAGAGAGAATTT